TACCAGACGTTAGGAAAACTTCTAATAGACTGCGGTGTTATATCTGATGACCCAATACCTCTCTGGTTAATTTGTTTATAGCCTTCGGGTTTTATATAAACTAGTTTTAGAATGTTTTAAGAGAAAAATTCAGATAAGTTCCATGCGTTCTCTGTAGAAGATTATAGATGCACACACATATTAAAACACTAAAGCCTGAACTTAAAAGTGAACCCCCTGTGGCTCATGGTAAGTCTGAGAGCTTGTAATGCTCAAATTGGGTTTTGGTACCCGCAATGGGCAGAGCATAGATAGCACATTTTGTAGAGCTATGATTAACAAGAAAAAAAAAAAGAAGTAACTTTTAATGACCTGAAAGTTGCAAATAAGTATTTTGAAAACCTCTGATTTGGTTTCGCCATGTTAAATAATTTTGGTTGTGTTAGGCCACAGAGGAGTTTAAACATACCGTTGGGCGGTGGTTGTTGGTGAGATACTATGCTTTAACAAATGGTTGAGAAAGTATTACGTGTCAAAATGTTGGCAACGCATAGGTATTGAGATTAAGAATACCTAGATAAAACGACCCTAAAAGTAGGAGTCGATCGTACAGAAATTAGTGGCTATTTGGTCGTCATTATATCCAGGAAACAGTGAAAATCACTAAAATTGTCTTTCGACGATAATTGATATAGGAACTTTCGAACAATACACTTTTTTTGTGTCAACCGGTTCACATCTTACAGAAAAATCTCCATTTAAAAGTGAGTTATTCCCCCGTTCGTGTTTGATGAAACTCCATGAAAGTCAATATACGCTGAGAAAATGTCCGAGAGTCATGATTACCCTAATCTTTGTTGGAAATACAAGGTTGGAAGGTGTGATGTTTGCATGAAATGCATACGTTGTGAATGTAGTCACGATGTAATTCTTGTCGAAGTTGAAATGACCAGAAAGAGGTATCGTCTAAACACGTTAGAATCCAATCGAAATAAAGCAATAAAACTGCGAAGTATAAAGGTTAATAAGAATAAGTTACTTCGTTCTTCTCGTTGTAACCATTTTCAATGTTTTAGGTCAGTGATTGGCAAACTTTGATATGGTTGATTAGACCTCAACCAACAAAAGTCATAAGAAATATCTGAAGAATATTTACTAAGTGTGCATAGTTTCCTAGATGTCATGAACATGTTGTAAACCTTCTTACTATAGAAATCAAAGCCAATATAGAATGGCCCCAAGCAAACGTAGTTTTGCTTTGTGAGGACTCTTCGTCAAGAAAAATACAACATTTTATGAGTTTTGTTGTGTTTTTCAAAGCAAGAGATAGAACCCCAAACGTATGCAAAGTTTTATATGAGAAACTGGCCTATCGGACTTTTAATTCAAAGTTACCACCAAAACATGGCAATTTCTGTACGATCGACTAACGATTTTAGGATTAAATTCAATATGAAACCAGGTTACATAAAATTATTTACTCAGGTTAATATAGCGTTCCTTTGCTATCACTTAATTTTGCATCAACATTTCGATATATTGATCGTTATTCTTTCTTCAAAAAGAAAAAACAAATGCTCATGCACTTTACGTTCACAGCCTTTTTACTGCTTCACGGTCACTCGTATTTCTCGTTCTCTCTGAATTGCATCTTTCCTGATTAAAGCATCAGAAACGATAAAGTTAAAATCTAGTGAAGAACCCAGAGCAAAATATCAAAATGGAATGTCTTCCTGCTATGTTTTCTATGTTAGAAAATGTCCATCTTCATATTATAACAAAGAAATCTAACTTGTGCACTTTACTGATTTTATTAGTCTAGAACACATATCACGGGTTTTTTAGGAAATGTACGAACAATAATAGCTGAATGTTCATAGTAAATAAATATTAAAGTAAATTTGAACACATTTAAGAGTAAATATGTTTTCTGTATATTTTGTTTTACTTTACCACACAAATAACGTTAAAGCTCATTAATCAGGACTTCAATGATAGTGTAGCTCCTCTCAATAGCCATGAATAGATGAAGAAGAACTGTGGAAAACCATAATATGAAAGGACGAATTTCGTTACTCGTGGTTTATCTTGGACGAATTGACATAGGTTTGGCAGCATCCTAGAGAGAACTTTGGATGTTACTGTATTGTCCCAATCATGAATAATGCATGATGAAGTGGATTCATGTTGTTCGATTGTCTTCGCTAATATAGACTTAACCCAATGTTAACACTTATTTGCATATTGGGACTTTCTGGACAATGCTAATGTTGCATTGCCTACTTTGATGAATTTCATTAGAAAAATATTATAACTTTTCTTCTCATTGCATCAACCTTTAAGTAACATCTCAACACTTCATGCTTTTCATTAAGAGACATCGGTCTATCTTAGAAGGCATTATAAACATTCACTGAGTGTAACTTCTGTTATCACGACACGCGCACTTTCCACTGGACATCAAATTTGTTTCCCATGAATGATATTAAATGCTCATCTTCAAAAAAGGATTTGACTTATATGTATATATATTTCCCATCAGTGATCTAAAACAGGAGATAAAGCTCACGCTTACAACAACATTTGCTACCATGGCCCACCACACACTATTTTTACTCAAATCACCTGTATGCTTGGGTAATTATTAACAAAAATGTTGCATTTATTACTACAAACTTTTGAAAGCAACTCTCTGTGGATATTAAATTGACTTCTTCATAAATTTATATTTTTCCTGTTCGATTTTAAAGTGGCAAAGGCTAAGCACAGCAATATTGATAAAAAATAATTTTGAATAAGAAGTCCAACCAAATGCTAGATTGGCGATATGAAAAGATTAAATAAATTATCCTTAACAAAATTCACTGACTGAGATAAACCTTCCAAATTATCCCCCGGTGGGTCAGCGGTATGTATACGTACTCACAACGCTAAAATCCGACGTTCGGTTCTCCGCAGTAGACAGAGCCTAGATAACTTATTTTGTAGCTTTGTGATAAAAACATCCTTTCAAATTTGAAACTGGTTATACAGAAATACTGGCTACACAACGAAATCTATAATATAATTTATTTTGGTAATTTTTATTGTCAATCTGAACAGCATCTTATGAGGTACAACGACTAAACGGCTAGATTAGAAAAATATTTTATTCAAGGTTCTTAACTCAGGACAGGTGATCAGAAGGATGAGAACTAGAAAGCGGCTTAAACTCCCTAAGCAGCTACTTTGAAACATATAACGGGATTGACTGTCACTGTAATGAAGCCCCAACGGCCGAAAGCGCGGAGCGAAATCATTAGCTCTGTTTGTTTCATAATTTTCTTGCAAAGTTACACAAATGGATATCTGTACGTAGCTATCTCTAATTTTGAACTGATAGATTAGAGGGAAAGCAACAACCAAGCCAACTCTTAAGCTACTCTTGTCTGACCGAATAGTGGGGTTTGACCGTCACTCTTGTTGTTTACCCACAGTCCCAAAATGCAGAACGCGATCTTGCTGTAAGGAGCAGCGAATCTTAAACTCCCGAACTCACAGTCCGAGCACGCTAATCACTAGGCTATTCTTGGTCCTTTAGCAACTAGAACCACTGTCCTTTCGATCCATAGCCCGGCACGTTAACCACCAGATCCAGCTATAATATGAATCCATGATTTTGTTTCAATTGAATGAGAGGGATATATATATTGTTATAACGTAATATAACATAAATTTGTGCATCCGTATATATCAGATACGAGTTTCTTAAGAACAAGGCTTAAGGCTTTTCTTAAACCCATTTTTAAAGATACATTTGAGATAGATTAGAAAGACCAAAGCTGGGCATGGTCAGTAATGCCCAAACCCAATTTAGCATTTAGTTTAGTGATCAGTTGTTCTCAGCATCGTTATATTTTCTGAGCTTCGACGATGGTTTGATCAGGTCTGCGTGTTAGGTTCCCGATCGAAGGGTTCGGGATTCGAGACGTGATTCAGCACTTACAGCTGTGAATGTATTATAGAAAAGACAATCAATTTTTTTTATTGGTTAAAAGACTCGAACAAGGCCCTTGTGGCGAGGAATGCTGCTGGCTAGCTGCCTTCCATCTGGTTAGTAGCTCAAAATTAGAGACAGCTGTACCTAAATCCTAAGGGTTTCTTATATGTCCATTAATAGCCGAAGTACACGTACACGTAAGAGCCATTCAAGTTGAAAATGTTCAGTTCCTAGGAGTCTCAATTGTCTGTCATTTCAGAGTATACAGACAAAATAACATAGCTTTCTAGCAAGTCGATGATTCGTCTTTATCGCTCAATGGCCTCTACAATATACTACTTATGATCTATTGAAGTCACGGCGCGCAAGTCTACTGAAGTAATTAAACAGTTAAGGAATTATTCAACGGCCCTATGCACCAGTACTTGACGCTTACCCTACTTAACATACATTAATCACCTCAAAAGGCTTACAACTGCGAGGGATAATTCATAAATATATCACATAATGCTTCAAATGACTAATGCTTTTCTAAGACTAAAGCCAGTATTTTTTAAATAGTCTCGTTTGCACAAACTTATTGGGTGTAACCTCAGCGAGAGACTACTCATATTCTAATCATATATTATCTTTATTTCATCAACAACAATTCATATGGCTGTTAATCTAAATAAGATTAAAGAATGAATGTCATTGCCTACATCAGTATTTCTCAAACTGGTGTATGCGGATCCTCGGGGGTCCGTAAGTCATGTCCGAAATTCTATTAAAATATTTTTACGAATATGATATATAGAATAACAAATATTTTTCATAAGATTAAATATATATATGAATTAAAACATTTAATTTGGGATAAAGCTTTTCATGTACACTGAATATTTTTTTTTTTCAAAGCAGAAAACCATCGAAAGGTTTGGGGTCTGCAAAAAAAAAAAATAATAATAATAAAAGAGGTCCTCGGGTTACAAAAGTTTGAGAACCGCTGATCAACATTATAATTATACATGATGAGGATATAAGTGATATTTTTTGTTTAAAGGGCTGTCCAGAACAGAAGGACTTTCGAGGCACACAATGTACAGCTTTTAATGATGTTCCCTATCGTGGACAATTATATGAATGGTTGCCGTTCTACGATTCTGAAGATACGTGTGCTTTGACTTGTCAAGCTAAAGAAAATGAGTTTGTCGCTAAACTTGCGCAAAAAGTTAAAGACGGCACCCGCTGCCGACAGGGGTCACTTGATATGTGTGTAGACGGAAAATGTATGGTGAGTAGTTTTTGTTTTTTCAAAAATCAATTGTTAGAAACTTGAGCTTCAAAATCAAGTTTTCATAAGCAATGTGCATTTTTTTAATGACTTAATTTTGTACATGATATAAAACGTCTCTGATATTTATTTGGTATTACTGAATGATACAATTTTACAGAAGAAGTCCAAGATTCTGAATCTCTACCAAGCAAATACAAGTTCGTAGGAAATTATCATTCATTTTCTAGTCTCAAAAATATAATTTTTCAGGGCTATTTACTTTCTTACAATCGTCATTTTAATGTAAACCGGTCATTAAAATGCATTCTACTTCCAATATTCAGCCTGTAGGATGTGACCTTCAGCTGGGATCGAACAAAACTATTGATAAGTGTGGAGTATGCGGTGGAGACGGATCAACGTGCAGACAGCCGAACTATGTGTGGAAAGAGATACACATGTCCCCTTGCTCAGTAACTTGTGGTGGAGGTACATATCACCATCTGGTGAATTTTCTTTTAAATAATGTAATGTATTTTTCTAACAAGCACCGATAATTTTGAATAATAATTTTATGTATGTAGAAAATTAATTTCTTCATGATCTATGAATTTATTAATCTTTAAAATTATTAACATAGTAACTATTTATTCGGCTTCGGGTAGGGATGTAGCCATAGAAATCCTGATAAACTTATCAGCTAACGAATATTAAGACCGTCTTTTATATTGATTTACAAAATATATGAAACTAACTCATTTTAAAGAAAAGTAATCCAAGAACATTTTCCGTTTAAGGATATATATATATGTGTGTCTGTATGTGTTCTTTTGTGTATGAACCTAAATAAAAGTAAATGCAATTGACCAAACAATTATCCTACGGGGTTTCTGATGTTGAATTCAACGAAATGACTAAACAATTCTTACATGAATATCGCTATCCTAGCGGCTTAAAATATAAATTATTGATAGGTATTTTCTTGGAAAACAATAAATCAAACTATAAATTAATTTGTTTTCATATTTACAAGTTTATAAAAAATATGTTCAACTGAAGCGACGAAATTCTTAGCCCTTGCTAATTTAGCGGTTTTTCTTGGTATTCGGCCAATCTATTTTTTATCACAAAATGTTTTGAATAGCATTGAACAGATGGGTTTTGCTGTAGCTAATTTTCAATCTCGCAAGGTAACTAATATATTTGAAGAGAAATAGCTGAATAAAGCCAGAACATAGGTTCTAATTGTATATTTTGTCAATATGTCACATCCACACTCTTGTGCCTCAGGTAAGACTACAGCATTACCGACTAAACGTAATTTGATATTGACTGAAGCAACTTTCTAGAACACCTTTACCTTGCTAGAACTAATGTCTTCTTTTCTATTGATAGAATTCATAATTCTTCTTGAAAATGTAAAAAGGGAAACAAACTTTCGACGTTCTTAAAAGTTAAAATAAATTGAAATAAACATTTATATTAAAGGTTAACACATTTTTGGAAGTTTTTCCTTATACGTTGACTTTATATCTTTAATTGAACTCACCACAACTTAACTATCGTGTGTACATACATATTGTTACGTCTGTGTTCGTTTGTTAATTTTCCGTTGAAACTTCTGCGATACAAGTCCGTTCTTAAATAAAACTAGTTTATTCTTTCTCAATTCAACTTTGCAGTACACTTAATTTCCACAGTCACTTTAACTTAAATTCACTCTATAATTCAAAACGATTCACGCCCTTTACTTACGGTCACTACTTGACTCAATTGTCCGTCTCTGTCTGTCTGCAATTCTATTCCCCATTAATTTCACTTTATCTGGCGCACCTATATACAAGAATAGAGGGCGCCTAGCAAATACTGGATTATTCGTGATGTTCCCCGATCCTTCTAGAATATCACGACGTGTTACTAGCGTCACGTGACTTCCGCTGTCGTAACACTACCCATTCCTTAGTATTGTTCGTCCCGAACAATAGCCACTTACATTAAACCAATAGATAATTAACAATAACTTAATTAAATGTACAGAATTTGCAAACACTACTAACATAAAAATTAAACTTCAACAAAGTCTCTTAATTTTACGAGACTTATCTTCTTCCGTACTGGCTTCTGCTTCATGTGAGGTTCATCTGCTCCATCAGGAATTGTCCTATTATCGGTAATAGTCACATCAGTGGTAGTAACTTTATGAAGGGCTTCATTGTTTCTCTTCTCAAAACCGAGTAGAGTTTCTTCTTCGACAGTGGCCTTTCCAGGTGACACGTCTTCAGCGGCGTCTTTTGTTCCATTTTTCACTTCGTCCCAACTGAAATGTCCTGGACTATGAAAGCGCCAAAGCCTGTTGGCATGCACCACCTTTGGCTTACCTCGCCGACCACATTTTATTCGGAAAGTCACGTCTAAGAGACGAGTCACTATGTCATATAGGCCTTCCCATGAAGAAGACAACTTAGGAGACTTCCCTTTGATCTTCCTGGGATTATACAACCACACCTTGTCTCCTGGTACAAAGCTGATTTCAGTAGACTTCTTATCGTAACATAGCTTCATGGAATCAGCAGACGTTTTCAAGTCTGAACGCACTTGATGGTGAATATTATCCATCCTTTCAGCTAACACTTTCACGAACTCTGGCACATTTTCAGGCAACTCTTCGTAAGGTGGGCGTC